TAGATAATTCTTCATCTCTAGTCATCCAACTTTTTATTGGGTGATGTTGTTGTGGACAAATTGGTGGGAAGGCTTGTCATCATTGTAGATGGTCCCGTTGTACATATTCCAGAGGCTCCAAGCAATAAGACCATGTATGACCACGTTTAGATTGCTGCGAATTGTTGAATTACTAGGACGAAGACACCATTCAATGAGGTGTTGTCTTAGAGCGATTCCTTTTCTGAGTTTTGGCCCTTGTAGGATATTGCAGAAGAAATCTTAAACTCATGCACTGAATTCACAGTGAAGTAAAGTGTGGTCCAGTTGTGCCTCCCATATTTTGCAGAATGCACATTGCGAAGGTAGGTGAAACCCAATCTGGTTGAAAATCTTGGAGAAAGGTAGGATGTTCTTCATAATTTTCCATTGAAAAATTCCGATTTTGGGGATTTGTAGCTTGTGCCAAGCTAGCTTGTATCCTAACTGAGAGTTCCTTGCATTTCTACACGCATTGTAGCCCTTTTGAGTGTAAACTTTCCCCCTTCCCATAAAACTTGTCTTCCATTTGATCTGCATGTTCTTCAGCTAATTATGTGACTCTGCAAATCCTTTCCCAATTTGGGGAATCCACAATTTTTTCTTGGAATGAGTTCCTCCTCATGTGTTTCTCTGATATAATTGGGCCAAATACTGTCATCATTATGTACTTTCCACCACAACCTTAGGGAGTAGGTTTTGTGTAGATCTTTGAGATTTCTCAAACCCAGTCATCCTTCCTCCTTAGGGCAACATAAAGAGTCCCAGTCTTTCCAGTGATATATATACTCTTGCCCCTCAATAATAATAATAAAATAATAAACAATTTATTATCTATACATATATCAAAATATATATTATTATTAATAATATTTGACATACTTAATTATCATATAATTAAAATGTCCATATATAAATATTTATTTATACATACGTTTGTGTATCTAATCGTATTATCACACAATATATAATGCACAATATATATAAAATGCAACTTTACTCTACTTAAATATTCTACACTTTTCATATGTTCTATGTGTGTGACCCTATTCTAGGTACCTATAAAATTGGTCATAGTATCGATTAAATATTACAAGTGATAAGAGGTATCTAGCAACACATTATCACCCCCAAATTATAGGCATAAAGCTCTTGGAACAATTCCTTCAATGACACATCTTATTTGTATAACTCTTATCCCTTTATCACAAATATATTGATTTAACACAATGTATGGGGTGTATCACCTTGTTACAGTTAAATCGATGGTTTGCTGATTCTTTGATTGACTTGTGGGATTCAAATAACATATTTATTTGGGCATGGCCATGCCCTTCCCAAGTCACATCAATCAGTAGGCCCTAAGATATTACACTTCATTAAAGAAGAGATAAAATTTATCTACGTCATTCACATCCCTACTTAAGTTCCATTGCATAACCAAAACATAATTGTACATCCACCAATATTTCAGGTGGCATAAATCATGCTTTAAAGTATGCAACTCAGCTTATCAGAGATCGTAATGACTTCAATTCAAAGGATAGTTTTACTAGTGGTCGCATGAGAATAATATTAACACTTTAACTTTAACTCATATACTCTTCTCATTGCGGGTCAATCCAGCAACATATCTAATATATTTGCCTACGCGTAGATTCATATAAAACTTTATCTATAACTTATGAGACACATCTATATCATCTCATACGTATTAGTCTTGATATATTATAATGTCCGTATTATCATAATATTCGACTAAGAATATTTTAGACGTAGCCTCTATCTTTGTAACAGCCTCATAATCAGAACGTCATAGTTCTCATCTATGTTACTAGAGCGACTACTCTATGGACTAAAGCTATGTCTAAATCACATGAGATGCCTTAAACAATCTTTAGGGCCTTTTTATTCTTTATATTATAGATTTGAAATCATAAGTTGGCCTCTAGGGCTCACTTATATTCAACATCCTTTTCCTTGGCTCCATTGAACCCTTCCTTTTCTAACATTCTTCATCAAATATATTAACCTTTGACTAATTCTTATTACGCAATATAATGAATTTTCGCATGCTCGTCCATTGAATGGGCTAGGAATGCATTTTGGTTAGATCGAGGGGAAGGGTGCGAATGATCGTGGTTTCCTTGGGAGTGGATGTTTGTTCCTAAAAGATTTAGTGGCATGGGCTTTCGGAGCATTCTAGATTTCAATCTAGCCATGTTGGGAAAGCAGGGGTGGCCATTCCTCACTAATCCTTAATACAACAGAAAGCCGCGCTCGTCCCACCCCTAGTTTATTCTGATAAAATAAATTACAAGGCAAAAAAATATAAAAAAATTCAATAAAATTTATTTTAAGATTTTAGAATACTCAGAATATTTAATTCTGAATTTTCTGAAATTTTAAAATCCTATTATCGTAAATATATGTATTTATTTTGATATTGGGACTTTAATTCGAAATAAATACTTATACTTTTTGAAAATTAATAAATAAATTCCAGAATATGTATTTGAGTTTCGTAAGTCCAAAAATAAAATTTACAGAATCCATATAACATTAATTTTGTAAGTTTCAATCATTTAATTCGGTAATCAAGAATTAATTTCCAAAACTGTTCCCGTATATCATTAATATTCCAAAAATAAATATTTTCATAAAATAATGACATTCTGACCAAATAATAAATTTCCAGATTCTGAAATACAAAATAATTATTTTTAGAAATTTATTTTCCAGTAATTCAAAAATTACCAAAATAGAATTTCCAAAATTACGAATTTAATATTCTTAAATCAGAAATTTTATTCCAAAAATTTTTATACAATTTTAGAATCATATTTACAAATTTATAAAATTATATTTTCGAATTCTAATTATATTCTAATTCCATCTAATCAAAATTAAATCCAAATTTGACAAATTAAATCCAAAAAATTTGAATTTAACTTACGAAAATTTATTTTAAATTTACAGAGTATTTAAAACCATATTGTAACATCCCAGAATATTTAAAATCATTTCTCCATATTTATATTGTATTTATTTTTTAATTAATCCAATTGACTACAAAAGCCAATAATACAAATAAATAGGTAAAAAAATTTAGAAAAATAATTTTAATTTTCCAGAACACTTAAAATCATATATTAAGTACTCAGAATTATAGAAATCCAGTTTTTACAATTCTAATATATTTTTCACAATTAAACAAATTTTAATCAGAAAAAGAAAATTAAAATATAAACCTAATTTTAATAGAAAAACTCATATTTCCGAATTTCATAAAGTCCAAAATCATACTTTGACAACTCTATGATTTTTGAGAAATTTTCGAAATTATGATTCATATTTAAGTTTAATTTATTAATTAACAAAAACTCTAACAATAATTAAATCTACAATAATTATAGTTTCGTAAGAAGGCTCCGATACCACTGTTGGGAACTACACTTGGATAGTGCAGCGGAAATATAAAAATTTTGATTTCCAAACATAGATCCACCCAAGATCCCTTGCGAAAACTATAAGTTATTGTAGGAAATATACCTTTCTTGAAAAACAAGTAACGATGTGTGGCTGACAAGATTGGTGCAAGAGCTTTAGCTACAAAAGTATATGACCTCTATCTAGTGCGTACACACGAACTTTGAATGATGTTCTAGAGAAATATTATGCTAGTAATTTTCTCAATAATATTTCTTAAAATACAAAATATTTGGAGTAATGAATTAAAAAAACAAAACAATTTGGTCTCTTTTATATAAATATGTGTGTGTATGTGTGTGTGCGCGTGTGCGCGTGTGTGTCTGTATAAAGATGGATGATTTGAAGATGACATAAATGGGAGAAAATAATTAGATCCATGAATTGTAAAATAAGAAATGAAGCCACTCTTAAAAATCAACATAAAGAATAGAAGAAATTCCCAAAAATATGAGTAAAACATAGAAAAAGTATAACAAAAAAGAGTTCTATGTTTTTAATATCAAAATAAGAGTTTGCACTGCGACAATGACATGTGTATATTAGCGTTTCACATTAATTTTTGGTATTATATATTGATATTATTGATATTATAAATCCTTTGAAAATAAAAATATGAAACTCCTTTTTTATTTTGTACTCCGTACTTTCTCTATATTTTGTTTCTAGTTTAATTTTTTCGCATGAACATGTGTAAGTAATACGCATAAAAAAGTACATTGCGACCTTTATATATTTAATCTAAATACACGATGAAAATCATTAGTCAAAATTTAAAAGAGTACTCCATTCGTCTCAATTATTTTTACAGTTTGATTCTATTTGTCAAAAGTATTACACACTTTGATCATTAATAAAATATTCTCTTTTTTACGTGTAAGTAAAAATTATAGCTAAATAAAAATTACAGAACCATTTAATTGCACTTTGACCATTTAATTTTGACATATAGCTAAATAAAAATTACATAGTATATTAATTAGATAAAACATAATAAATTATTCTTATAATTTATAAATTTTATTTAATTAATGCTCAAAATTTATAAATGTTAATCGTGAAAAATAAAAAATTAACAAACACTTTGGTACAGAAACAGTACTATAAATAAATAAATAAATAAATCTTTACTACGTACAAAATTTGATGTATCTAAAGTATATATTTTATAATAAATCCAATTACATTAACTTTAGGTTATAGCTACATACAGATTATTTTTTTAAATAATTGATAGTCGAAGTTAGTAAAATTCAACCAACGATAAAGAATTTTTAAGACAAATGAAGTATTGAACTAGAAATATCAATCATAACGGGGTGATTATCTTGTTATAAAGTTATAAACAAATGTTCATTTAGCTTATATGATGATACGGGCGTGTGAAGCCTTCAGAAAAGAAGAGAGTTCTGAGGCCTGTAACAAATAAGAGAAAGAGAGGTTTGCATAGAGGAAGGAAGAATTAAAGGGAAATATCTCGTTGATTGATATCAGGAATGTTCTAGCATTTATAGGGTATACAGCACCACACCTCTACATTACATCTCACCTTATAGGACAAGTAACAGTATAACAAAAATAGGAAATACTCCCTAGTATTTAAGACTGCACCATATGAAGTGATATTGAAGACCTTAAAATCTTAAATATATGAAAGAATTTGGCAAATCCTTCTTCCCCCAAACAGAGCGATCTCTCTCGGAAAGCCTGCGCATATATAGTCTATAATAGTTTAGGCTTCATCACATGTCCAGCAGTTTGTTTTAAAGATGACAAAGAGTTTGAGCAGAATTACATAACCCCTAACCTAACTTTGTACACAATATTTAACCTTCAGGTAAAAAGCGCAAGTGTTATGCTCTGAGAAATGGCAAGGGACGTCTAGCTTCCACATGCCATGCACTCTTCACGGTTCGTTAAAGAACACACCATCTGTGCCATTTTTGTTTCATCATCGGCGCCTGTGATGGGGTTTTCCTACAATTATCGGAGGGTAGGTTTAGATTAGGCCGTGCGAGTATTAATTGAATGCAGTGAGGATCTACAAAGTACAAACTGTACGTAGGCAATGACTACCTACCTTGTTGAGGATGGATGCGTCAACTGTAAATTTGATGGCATCGGCAGCTGCACGTGTTCTTAGATAGTACATTCCAGTTTTTAAGCCCTGCATGGAAGAATTATTTGGAGACAATTTAGCAAAAATGACTGGAACGGAGAGTGGAATGGGTTCAAGAACACGATATGTTATAGAAGTGTGGGAAAAAAAATTTACCATGTATGTATATATATATATTATACTCAAAATACAGGTAAAAGAATGCTTTTCTTTCCCTTCAACCAAGTAATAACACTTCTAAAAGAAATGTGTTGATGAGATACATACCCTGGACCATGTGTAGAAGTGAAGAGAAGTAAGCTTTCCAAAACTAGGTTGGTCCATATGGATGTTAAGGCTTTGGCTTTGGTCTATATAGCATCCACGATCAGCAGCCATATCAACCAAAACTCTTTGTTTGATCTCCCAAACGCTCCTATAGTCAGTATATTTTATTGGGGAAGAAAACATTTAGCACGTCATATACATTTATATGTAACACACGTGAAGGGAGTGAGAACACACAATGCAAACTCATACTTGTAAATTGCTTTAAGGTCTTTGGGAATCTCGGGGATTTTTTGCACAGATCCATCCTCATGTATAATTTGGTTCTTAAGAGCAGGTGACCAAAGTCCCATCTTGGTTAGATCATAGAGAAGATGCTTGTTCACAACAACAAATTCACCACTGCAAAAGAAACAAAAGAAAGTAAAACCAAATGGCAAAAACATGAAGTCATCTTCTAAAAATGTAAAACAAACTGGCAGCAAACAAACCTTAAGACTCTACGGCTGTAGATATTAGACGTGTATGGCTCGAAACATTCATTATTTCCAAGAATTTGGCTTGTTGAAGCAGTCGGCATTGGAGCTAAAAGAAGGGAATTTCTCACTCCATTCTTTTCTATTCTTGTTCGGAGAGTACTCCAATCCCATCGAGCTGAAGGGGTCACTTCCCACATATCAGGTTGGAGGATACCCTGCCACCCAATTTGAGGTGTTAGAATTATGAAATATCTCCAAGGACCTAATTAAGTAACAAGGCACCATATTTAATGCAACAGCTATCACCTTTTTCAAATAAGCTAAAAGAGTCATTATTGACAATCCTTTAGCTTTGGGTATATAATAGACTAAATCAAAATAGAACATTAAATTTCCTTTGCTTCTTACTGCTAATGAAGTGTTGGGGTGTAAATGCGTAATGTAACAAGGGTCTAATGGAAAGTCTATATTTTAATAGAGGGATAACATTGCGTACATCTTTACCCTCTAGACCTCAGCAGAATTAGGACTATACTGGGTTTAGTTTGTTGTTCTATACCTTGCTCACAGGACTTCCATCATACGACTCATAGGGGCCTTCCTTAGCTGCCAGCTCAGAAGAACTATTTAGAGCATGATAGTATATTGTCTCAAATATTTCCTTGTTTAGTTGTTGAGCCTGCATACATACCCTTGGAAATTAAATGCACACGGAGGAACTAGAGAACTCTCGCATTAAACAAAAATAGGTTTTACCTCTGGTGAATCAAAAGCCATGCCAAGCAATATGAATGTGTCTGCGAGGCCTTGCACCCCGATTCCAATTGGCCTGTGCCGGAAATTAGACGTTTTTGCAGTTTCAACAGGATAATAATTTACATCAATGATTTTATTCAGGTTAGCTGTGATTACTGCAGTGACCTGTTTCAAAAAAAACCTTACTTGAAACCCACAGAATTATATCATTCGACACCAGAGATATTTGCATGATGTAAAATGTCAGACCTCGGCCAGTTTGTCAAAGTCAAAGTACCGGTTTTTGGAATCCAAACTGCCAACAAGCTTAGATGGTTGGGACTCAATTGGGACCCCCTGCACATAGATTGATGATAAGAATCGGGCATTCTTGGTTAAAGAATAATAGCACTCTTGCCTAGCTATTTTGCCTAATTGTGTAAGTCGCGTGGGTAGTTCTCCCAAAGCACTTAAAACAAGGTCTATTTTGAAAATCAACTTTTTTGGACCAAAAAGCTTTCCCAAAAGATTTTTAACAAACGCTTTTAATAGTTGTCTTCAGCCCAAAAATCTCATTGTCAAACAGCTCCTCTAGAATACGCATGCATAACCCTGATTCAATGTTCTAAAAATTGCTATACAACGATTGATCAGTACTATGCAGGATTTTTATTCCAATGATTACTGTATTGAAATGATTACCTTCTCCCTGATAAATCGTGGCAATGCAATTGAAGCCAGATTGCAGACAGCAGTTTCATCTGGACTTGTGTATTGAATAATCTCAGTACACAAGTTAGAAGATTTAATTGTGCCAAGATTCTGTTGGTTGCTTTTTTTATTGCAAGAATCCTACAATGATATGAAGATTATATAAGTAAAGATAAAGGTGGAATAAAATTCTAGCACGCACAAACCATTTAAAAGAGATGCAATTCATTACTCACTTTAAAGAGCATGTAAGGAGTTCCAGTCTCTATCTGGGATTTTAAAATCTCAAACCACAGATCATGTGCCTTAACAACTTTCTTAGCTTTACCCTGTGCCAAATGAGAGGAAAAATATATTAATGAGAATACACATACAAACAACAGAACCATTTGGTGTACATAGCAGTGCAACAAGCTAACAAGTACCTCTATTTCATACTGCAAATAGAGTTTTTCAAACTCTTCACCCCAGCAATCTGCCAATCCAGGGGCCTCATTTGGGCAAAATAGTGACCATTGCCCATCAGTTTGGACTCTCTTCATGAATAAATCAGGTATCCAGAGAGCATAAAAAAGATCACGTGCTCGATGCTCTTCCTGGAAAATGAGACATGACCACACGCTTCATAAATTACTTATAGTAAACAATACGTTTGTACAATGAGTTGAGAATCTTGTGCAAGATAACCACAACAATTCTTGTTCAACTAAAAACTAAGCAGGCAAGAACAAAATGCATCCAACAGTACCTTTCCATGGTTTTTTCTCAAATCCAGAAAGTCAAAGATATCTGCATGCCAAGGCTCAAGATACACAGCAAAAGCCCCTGTAAGGAGCACAAATCCATATTAGAAAAATCAATAAGAAGTACACCTCATCTTAAACATTGGAAGTAGACCAGAAGAATGTGTTGACATGCCTTTTCTTTTCCCACCACCTTGGTCAACATATCGTGCAGTATCATTGAACACGCGCAGCATAGGAACAATCCCATTGGATGTACCATTTGTTCCGCGGATGTAACTCCCTGTAGCTCGGATATTGTGAACAGACAAACCAATTCCACCTGCCGATTTACTGATTACAGCACACTCCTTGAGAGTGTCATATATTCCATCAATGCTATCTTCCTTCATGCAGATAAGGAAGCAACTACTCAACTGTGAGCAAAATAAGAGAACAATGTGAGAAGCCATGTAAGTGTTGGTTCCTTGGGTGTGTCTTAGCCTCTTTGTCATAGGTGTTGGCTTTATTTTTGACAAAAAAAAAAAATAAGTACTCAGTTTGTTCTAGCTATGTGTTTTATAGAGCTGTAGCATCCTGTCCATCACACAAACAGTCCCTGACCTTCTGGACTCTTTTAACTAAAGGCGACTGCAGTTCACCAAACTGAAGAAGATATGTGTGGTATCAGAAGGAAATTATAACAAGGACTCTACCCGATAAACACAAAACTGGAGGTAGAGGTATATCAGGATTCTTCTAGGGTTGATCTCACCTTGCGAATATAAATAGAAGGGAGAACTGCCTGGATTGTGCGTGAATTCAGAGAGCAAGAGAGAGAATATATTGTGGGAAAATTCTGAATAATCAATCAGCCAAACAGATCGGAGAACACAGATGGCTGGCAGGCAGAATGATGTTCTGCTTGGAGTTTGACGTGCGTTCCAGTCAGTTGAACTGAGAAGAGCTGGAGCGTAGGCCAGGAACACGTCTCAGATAAGTTGTTCAAGTGTTTCAGTCTCGGTATCTCTGCATAAACCGGGTTTGTTGCATCCCATTAAGTTGTTGAGTTTAGATCAATGGATAGATCGAGTCTGTTGTCATTGAGGGTGTAAACTCTGAACTAATTTAGTGGGAAGGCTGTTACACTTACGTGGGCCTCGCAGACGTAGGAGAAATTGCTCCGAACTGCGTAAACAATTTTGTGTGTTGTGTGCTGTTTGTTTTGTTTCAGTCTATCTATTCAGCAGTTGGTGAAGCACTTTGTTTTACAACTTCATATTAGAAAGTGCTTCAGCAACCTCTGCGGCAACTTGTTCTGTTTTAGATTGCTACAGGTCGTACTCTGTGGAAAGTGAAACTTTCAATTGGTATCAAAGCCATTAAAGCTTAAGATACTAGCTTTAAAGATCAGACATGGGAGACATGGAAGAAGGAGCGAATGTACAACGGCCACCACTGCTGAGAGGACCAAACTACAACTTCTGGAAGGGGCGCATGAAGGCATTTTTGAAATCACAAGGTGGAAGAGTCTGGAGAAGCGTAGAAACTGGCTGGCAGATTCCTACAAAGACAGTTGAAGGATCAGATGCAAAAATTCCCAAAACATTTGAGGAATACTCAAAGGAGGAAGCTGCAGCTGCTGAATGCAATGACAAAGCCTTAAATGCATTATTTGGAGCAGTGGACAGCTCTCAATACAGACTCATTGCAAATTGCACTGAAGCACAGAAGGCGTGGAAGATTCTAGAGACAACCCATGAAGGAGATGAGAGAGTCAAGACAGCAAAATACCAAATTCTCATGACAAAATTTGAAAATCTCAGAATGGAAGATAAGGAGAGTATCACTGAATTCCATGGCAGAGTGAGAGATTTGGCAAATGAAGCAGAACGTCTTGGAAGACCTTTTGAAGAAGACAATCTTGTTCTAAAGGTGCTGCGCACCCTACCAGAAAGCTACTCTGTTGATGCCAAGGCCATACGTCAAGCGCATGATCTAAAGAGGATGACGCTGGATCAATTAATGGGAAATCTTGAAACCATTGAATTGGCCATGTCAGAAGAACAAAAGAAGAAGAAGACAGAGAAACAAATAGCATTTCAAGTGGGTGATCTAGATCCAGAAAATGATGTCATATCAGATGATGATTTTCAAGAGCAGCTCTCACTGTTTACCAAACAGTTTACAAAAAGGTGGCTCCAGAAAAAGGGTAAACAGGCACTTATGCAAGATCCTCAGAGAAGTTCACAAATCAAAATAATGAAAGAGAAGGAATTCAAGGCACAACCTTCAGAAGCAAGGAGAAGAGGGCCACAGTGTTTTGAGTGTGGTGGCTTCGGTCATATTCAAACAGAATGTGCAAACAACATAAAAAAGAAAAGGCAGGCATTTGCCTCAACTTGGAGTGATGAAGAACCAGACACTGAAGATACTGATGGAGACAGTAATTGCGCCTTTGTCACGTTAGAAGTACAAGAGGACTCTGAAGAGCAGCTAAAAATACTCCAAGAAAAATGGAGTTATCTGCTTGATATTAATAAGAAGAATGTATCTGAAAATCTCCTATTAGAAACTAAACTGCAGATCTGTGAGCAAACTGTTGAGAAGCTGCAACATGAGCTGAGCCAAAAGGAAACCGAAAATGCTAATCTAAGACATGAACTTGATCATCATATGAAGTACCAGAAATGGATAAATAAAGCAGGAGCAGGAAGTTCACAAGAATGGATGCTGAGCACAGAGGCAAAAGCCATTGAACACCAAGTTGACATCTCCAAGATGTATGGAGACAGAACTGGGCTGGGTTATCCAAAAGAAGAATCAACCAAAACACCACTAGATCTCTTCATCAAACGAAGTGATCGCAGGAAAGAAATAGACAGTCTTCCAGTCAAAGCTTCACAAACGACAACTGGTACATCACACAAGAATGGAAGGCATCATGCAAACACAAGAAATCGCTATGAAAACTATAGATGTTATCGATGCAAAGAATGGGGGCACATTAGAAAGATGTGTCGTAGAATCAAGAGGGGAAGACAGAGAAGTGCTAGAGTCAAGCAGATATGGGTGCAAAAGAATGTGGCATCACATGCAAACTCATGCATGCGAGTGACTCCAGAGCAGTGGCTATTGGATAGTGGATGTTCACACCACATGACAGGAGACAACAAAAGTTTGAAGAATATGCAGGAAATAGAGGGAGGCAGTGTCAGATTTGGAGGAGGGGCGCATGGACAAATTATTGGATGTGGAACATTAAATGTCACTGGACTTCCACCTATCAAGAACGTCTGGCTAGTTAAGGGATTACAAGTAAACCAACCTTTTAAGCATCAGTCAGATATGTGATCAAGGTTTAGAGGTGACCTTTACTCAACAAAAATGTAGAGTAAAGAACAAGAACAAGCTGGTTGTGCTAGAAGGCGACAGAACAACAGACAACTGTTATAGAGTGAGCCCCAACATCCTATGCTACACGGCCAGTGAGAAAGATGCCAGATTATGGCATTACAGACTAGGGCACATCAACTACAAGGACTTGGCAACTCTTTCTAACTCAGGAGCTGTGAGAGGTTTACCAAAAATTACAAAGATCAAAGATGAGGTATGTAAACCATGTCAGCTTGGTAAACAGGTTCACTCAAGTCATCCAACGAAGGCGTTCAGAACAACTCAGCAACCACTGGAATTACTTCATCTGGATCTATTTGGTCCCATGAAGACTGAAAGCATAGGAGGAAAGAGATTTGTCCTTATGGTGGTGGATGACTTCACAAGGTACACCTGGGTGAGTTTCTTGAAGCACAAGGATGACGCACTAGATGCCTTTGCAGCTCTTTGCAACAAAGTACAAAATGAAAAGCAGCTGAAAATAAGAGGAGTCATTCGAATACGAAGTGACCATGGAGGTGAATTTGAAAACAAGCCATTTGAAGATTATTGTGATCAACACGGGATATGGCATGAGTTCTCTGCACCAAAGACACCACAACAAAACGGAGTAGCTGAAAGGAAAAACAGGCATGTTCAGGAGATGGCCCGAACAATGATTAATACTTTTGATCTGCCTAAGAAACTATGGGCAGAAGCTGTCCATACAGCATGTTACACTATCAACAGGGTGTACATGAGAAGTGGGACAAAGTCAACTCCCTATGAACTGTGGAAGGGAAGAACGCCAAGCATTGCTCATTTCCATATTTTTGGAGCCCGGTGTTTTGTTCTAAAAGATCGAGAGCAAAAAGGAAAGTTCGATCCCAAAAGTGATGAAGCTATTTTTGTTGGGTACTCTCCAAACAGTAAAGCATACCGAGTATACAACAAACAAACCAAGACAGTCATGGAGTCTACAAATGTGATTGTTGATGATCGGATGGAGAGAAAGAACCAGGATGATCCAGAAGAGGCTCCAGCAACTGATATAACACCTGGTGAATCAGATCAAGAAGCTCAGCCAGAAGAAACACATGCAACTGAAAATGAGGAACAAGTACCAGAGACAGCTACAGTTCCCACACATATTCAAAAGAATCATCCTATGAAGAATGTCATCGGATCACCAACAGAAGGGATAAAGACCAGGAAAAAGACCATAAATTTTCTTGAGATGACAAAGGCTTACTACACATCAACTTCAGAACCCAGAAACATAAAAGAGGCGCTTACTGATGAAGCATGGATAAATGCAATGCATGAGGAGTTAGAACAGTTTGAGAGGAACAAAGTTTGGGAACTAGTACCAAAACCAGACAAGGTGAATGTAATAGGTACTAAGTGGATCTACAGGAACAAAACTGATGAAGAAGGAAACGTCATAAGAAACAAGGCAAGACTGGTGGCTCAGGGTTACACTCAAGTAGAAGGAGTAGATTTTGAAGAAACATTTGCACCAGTTGTACGACTGGAGTCTATACGAATGCTCATCAGCCTAGCATGCATACTCAATATGAAACTATATCAGATGGACGTAAAGACAGCCTTCTTAAATGGGTACCTAAAAGAAGAAGTGTATGTGGCTCAACCCAAGGGTTTTGTTGATCAAAAACATCCTGAACATGTATACAAACTAAGGAAGGCACTCTATGGGCTAAAACAAGCACCTCGAGCATGGTATGAGAGACTCACATCATATCTGCTAAGAAAAGGATACAACAGAGGTGGTGTAGACAACACTATGTTCTACAAAAGGTATGACTCAGACATACTGATAGCTCAAATATATGTTGATGATATTGTGTTTGGATCAACTTCAACGACACAGGTCAACCAGTTTGTCAAAGTCATGGAGACAGAATTCGAAATGAGTATGATAGGAGAGCTAACCTTCTTCCTAGGACTACAAATCAAACAAACTGCTGAAGGAATATTTGTTTCTCAAACAAAGTATGCTCAAAACATGCTGAAAAAGTTTGACATGAATGACTGTAAAAGTGCTCGAACACCCTGTCCAACACATGAAAAGCTTTGCAGAGATGACCAAGGACAAAATGTGAATCCTACCAAATACAGAGGGATGATAGGGAGTCTACTGTATCTAACAGCCAGCAGGCCAGATATAAGCTACAGTGTAGGAGTCTGTGCAAGATATCAGGCAAATCCAAAAGAATCACATCTCAAGGCAGTGAAAAGAATTCTGAAGTATATCAAAGAGACGCAAAATCTGGGGTTGTGGTACGTCAAAGGTGGTACAGCAAACCTCACAGGCTACAGTGATGCTGACTGGGCAGGAAACATAGATGACAAAAAAAGTACTTCAGGAGGGTGTTTTCTTCTTGGAGGAAATCTAGTAGCATGGATGAGCAAGAAACAAAACTCAGTGTCTCTGTCAACTGCTGAAGCAGAATACATAGCGGCTGGGAGTTGTTGTGCACAACTACTGTGGATGAAGTCAATGCTAGCAGATTATGGTATTAGTCATGGCACAATACCTCTTTACTGTGATAATACAAGTGCAATCAGTATTTCAAAAAATCCTGTCTTACATTCACGTACCAAACACATCGATATAAAACATCACTTCATACGTGAACTGGTAGAAAATAAGACGGTGGTTCTGGAACATATTCCAACAGAGGAACAACTTGCAGACATCTTTACCAAGGCACTGGATGGAAATAGGTTTGAGAAGCTCAGGTCAGATTTGGGCCTTTGTGCTCCCTTCTAAATTTTCATTCACGCGTGGACACTTAAAGGCCAGCTCAGAGTGTACACGTCATGTCATATGCTGGAAATTCTGAAATGAGAAGGAATACTAGGGGGCACACTTCTAAAATAATCTTGTCATCATCGCGCACACTACTCAAAGGTGCTGTATTGCTCTCAAGAAACGGAAAAGGCACAATAACACATCTTTGAATTAAAAAAAAATCTCGTGGTCAGCGCCATTTACACTCGTCTTCTCCAAGCACAAACCCTAACTCTCTGCAAGAAAATTTGCTCTGCAACAATGGTGAGAAGCAAAATTGCTATACCACAGAAGTTCAATCACTCTAAGGGCTCCAAACCGCAGCCCTCCTAGTTCAAGAAGTATTGCCAAGTCCGCAAGAAACTTCAAAAAACAAGAGAGGACGAGGAACCAGTGGTGAATCCAGGGTCTCCAGCAAGTATCCCTCACATGCAGCAGCAAGAAGATGATGTAGCACATCTTCAACCTTCAGATCTACCACAGATGCTGCTCATCGAATATCACAAGTCTGAGGAGGAAGCAGAGACCGCTGCAGTGCCGAAATCTGAGCCAGCACCACCCACCGATGGACCAACTCAGCCTCCACCAGACGCACCAGTTCAAGAAGATGAAGAGTTCATTCAAATCTTGGATGAAGATCCTCTTGTGGCAGTCTCAAAAGTCCCTTTTCAAGAAGACTCTGCAGCGAAGAAGAGCAAAAAGAAAGTGATTTCCAGCACAGTCCCTCAACGAAGATCTAAGAGAAAATTGAAGCTGGAGGAAGACTCAAGTTCAGAAGCACCACCCCAGAAGAAGCAGTCTACATCATCTACCCCTATGATTTATGCAGCAGATGTCACACCGGTGGTAAAAACAGGAAAGTCTCCTCACTCTCGCTTTGTTTCCTCAAAAGCTAGATCTCTTTTCAGTAGTGTGCACAAGAAATCTATTATTGTTCAAAGAAAAATTGATGTGGAAGATTTTAAACTCAAGACCAATCTGATTCCTCTCCTTGAAAAATCCAAATTGTTGAGATCTGTCACTCTTCAAGGATCCTTTGTGAAATCTGTTATCTGTGAGTTCTACTGCAACGTGTCTGAATCTTGTGTTGATCATGCTAACCCCATGTTTCATAAGGTGTTCTTGCGTGGAAAGACCTATAAACTCTCCCCTGCTCTTATTAATACTGCTCTTGATCTTACCCCTAGCAAAAAGGACACCAAAATCTCGGAAAAAACCATGTGGTTAGATCTTACAAATGGTCAAAGAGCCTCTCAGTCCAGCAAAGCAAAAATTTCCTCCTCAATTCTCAAAACTTCCTATGCTATCTTATTAAGGGTTGCAGCACTTCACTGGCTTCCAACAACACACACCAATACTGTTTCCAAAACTATGGCCAGACTGCTCTACAAGGTTAAGCACAACACACCATTTGACCTAGGACAACTAATTTTTGATCAGATCATGCTCTTTGCAGCTGAGAAATACAAGGTCAACTCCATTGGGCTTCCCTATCCAACACTTCTCTACAGACTATTGATCTCCCAGGGTTTCAACAAAGATGAAGGGGAGGAGGAGGAACAAGAAGAGCCACCACTCCAAGTGGACAGCAGACACATGGAGGGAAAGCACTATAATGACATGGAGGTTGCTGCTTCAACAACTACAAAACACAAGGAGACACCCTCTTTGGTGAGATTCTTGGAGCAGAAACTGATGCAGGTTAAGGAGGAGCTAGCAAGGACTTTACAGCTGAAAGATAAGCTGGAGATTGAGAAGGATCAGTTGGTGGTGTTGCTGCGCCAGGCTAGGGAGGCACATCCAGATGAGGAGCACCCAGACTCAGTAGAGGAGATCATTGAGAGCACTCATTCTGATGAACAGGAGAGTCACACTAAGGGGGAGAGTGAGGAAGGAAACTCAGCTTGATTTGATTATGTACTCACAAAAATCTGTTTTTTGATTGATGGCAAGTATTGAGGCTGTGTTTGCCTCTGGATTATCAGGAGTATGTGTTTTGCTCACTTCTGAATTGCTTGTGGATTTCACTGTTTTGTTTGGGTTTGTTGCTGTTGGATTTGCTCTATGGTTTCTTTGAAACATTCTATTGCTCTTTATGATCTATGTTTGCTATTATGCACTCCATTGTCAAGTGCTGTCTCCTGCGCATGGGTCTAGTGCCGGATGTAGGTACAGCTCTATGTCACACTTCGTAGGTATTCTATGTCATATTGTACCTACTCTTGATCGGTTGAATATTCCTCTTTATTCTTCGCTCCAAACCTTTTTAATAAAATTTGGCATTTTTTGTGCAAAAAAGGGGGAGAAGAGGTTCAACACGGCTGAGTAGTGGTTTTTGTCAAAAATTGCCAAAGGGGGAGATTGTTGGTTCCTTGGGTGTGTCTTAGCCTCTTTGTCATAGGTGTTGGCTTTATTTTTGACAAAAAAAAAAAATAAGTACTCAGTTTGTTCTAGCTATGTGTTTTATAGAGCTGTAGCATCCTGTCCGTCACACAAACAGTCCCTGACCTTCTGGACTCTTTTAACTAAAGGCGACTGCAGTTCACCAAACTGAAGAAGATATGTGTGGTATCAGAAGGAAATTATAACAAGGACTCTACCCGATAAACACAAAACTGGAGGTAGAGGTATATCAGGATTCTTCTAGGGTTGATCTCACCTTGCGAATATAAATAGAAGGGAGAACTGCCTGGATTGTGCGTGAATTCAGAGAGCAAGAGAGAGAATATATTGTGGGAAAATTCTGAATAATCAATCAGCCAAACAGATCGGAGAACACAGATGGCTGGCAGGCAGAATGATGTTCTGCTTGGAGTTTGACGTGCGTTCCAGTCAGTTGAACTGAGAAGAGCTGGAGCGTAGGCCAGGAACACGTCTCAGATAAGTTGTTCAAGTGTTTCAGTCTCGGTATCTCTGCATAAACCGGGTTTGTTGCATCCCATTAAGTTGTTGAGTTTAGATCAGTGGATAGATCGAGTCTGTTGTCATTGAGGGTGTAAACTCTGAACTAATTTAGTGGGAAGGCTGTTACACTTACGTGGGCCTCGCAGACGTAGGAGAAATTGCTCTGAACTGCGTAAACAATTTTGTGTGTTGTGTGCTGTTTGTTTTGTTTCAGTCTATCTATTCAGCAGTTGGTGAAGCACTTTGTTTTACAACTTCATATTAGAAAGTGCTTCAGCAACCTCTGCGGCAACTTGTTCTGTTTTAGATTGCTACAGGTCGTACTCTGTGGAAAGTGAAACTTTCAGTAAGTAGTAACAATTTGATAGCGGTATAATACAAAAACATAGCAAAGAAACAGTGCTTGTGAGCTTGTAACATAGATAATGTGTGGCTATTTGACCTACCTGAGGCCTTGGAGTTCCAGCATTAAAAAGAGTTGGAGATGCATGTGTGAACCATCTTTGAGACATCAAATGGTATGTCTTGATGGCAGATTCAATATCATCCTTGTGGATGCCAACAGAAACCCTCATCAACATGTGTTGTGGCCTTTCAACAACTTTTCCTTGAACTTTTAAGAGGTATGACCTCTCCAGAGTTTTGAAACCGAAGTAATCATAATCAAAGTCTCTGTCATATATGATCTCACTGTCGAGACGAGAAGCATTCTAAGAGACACGTAAAAGAGAAACTAGTTAAAATGTGTACTGGGCTATGATAAAAGCACCAAAATGATGAACAGCAGATATTGCATGCGAATGAGGCATTTAGTAGCCCTACTCAATAGTTCACTAAACTTACAAGAGACTAGATTAAATGGAACAACAAACAGAAGCAACAACAACAAACCCAGTGTAATCTCAATTCCGTTGGTGGCTAGGGTCAAGATATACACAACCTTGCCCCTGTAAAAAATAGAGTGGTTGTTCCCATTACACCATTGATGCTTTGGTGCATTTACAACCCAAACCTTCATAGAAAATGAGTATGCCGTTTTGATTGAGCTCCATTATTTATGTAGAGCTAAACCATTGTAAAAATGACTCTTTTAGACTTTAGCTCCATTGGCAAAGAGGCTAACAAGAATCATACGAGAGAAAAAAAAGTTCAATTTTAAAAAGTTGTGTAAGGATTGTTAACACACACACAAAACTTCATTAAGATTATTTGTCAATTGTCAGCTGTTTAACTCACTGTTAGTGTAATCAGACGAACAACAGAGGATCAAAGCATATGAAATAAACCATATAAACTCACAGCATCTGCCTACATTTAAAACAAGCTACAAATCAAAGGTTGTGAACTAATAACAAAAAAGATAATAGTACCTGCATGATTATTTCGTATACATCATCAGCAATCAGGGGCGCCTTTCGTCCAGATTTATCATCGACGTGGTAGTACATGTCTTTGACACTGCAACAACCACATAGACCCAACACATGCTTCTCAGTTACCAGAGTCTTATGTAATTATACCACAAACAACGAATTAAAAGCAAAGCTCTTACGTCTCGGAAAATGAATTCTTGGTGCTTTTATGAAGATTAGAAACCGCAATCCTTGCAGCAAGCTGCAATAAACACATTTCAATTCCAACCAAAACAAAACAGTAGTCATTTCAGACAAAAAAAACCCCTTCATTACTTAAAATTGACCCAGTTATGCCAGCACCTAAAGCAGCATTTCACCAACAAATACTAGTCCTTTCACACACACACAAAAATCCCAAATACTGGATCTAGAATACAAGTACAGTACCAGTAAAAACCCCATTTTTCAAATTTCAAAATTGAAAAGACATCCCAAGAAAACGTGCAGTTATACGAGCAGAACAAATCAGTAGAGCCAAAACTGACCCTTGTAATTGATGAATACTTACAGATGCATAGTCCGGGTGGTTAGTAGTCATGGCGGCTGCAGTCTCCGCAGCCAATTCGTCAAGCTGGCTGGTGGTGACACCCTTGTAGACACCGGCAGAGACTTTCTGGGAAACAAGCACAGGGTCACAGTGCTCGGGACTGAGACCATAGCTAAGCTTCTGCAGCTTTGCAGTGATTTTGTCGAAGCTTACGGCCTCCTGACGCCCATCTCTCTTCACCACGTACATTTCTTCTTCTTCTTCTTCTTCTTCTTCTTCTTCTTCTTCTTCTTTTCGTCGGTCAGAAGTTTGATCGAACAGCTGGTTAGTGGATCGGGGATTCTTGAAACGAAGATAAATGGGAGCAACAGTTTCGGGTTGGATTTGGGGTTTTGATTTTTGAATTCCGCCGCTTTGGATTTGGAGGGGTGTATAATAGGGTGCGGCTGAATTTTCCCGCCACAGAGAGGATTGACTTTAGCAGGCGATGCTACGGAAGAGTGCAGGAGAAGCTGGTGCCTGGTAGTAGTAGTAGTAGGACCCGCTGCTCATCCTCCTTTGTCTCCCAATAACATGGAGTGGAACGCCCAAGACTAGTATTGATATCATAGTCAATATTTTGAATCCATATAACATTTTATGTCGTACCGATTTTAATCTCGAAATATAAATTTGTAATTGTTTGGTATGGATTTTGATATAAATTGGGATGAATACATATACTACCTCCGTCCCAGAGTATTTGTCCGTTTTCATTTTTACACACCATGTAATACACTTTTTTAATCAATTTTATCTTGTAATTTGTATATTAAAAAATTATAGAAATTATATATTAATAATCTATATGTTAAGACAAATCAAACAAGATCACACATGACTATATTTAGGCTTACACATTGAGAGAATTTGATGAGTCAAAGTATTTAGATGAATAGTTCCAAAAGTCAAAACTGGACGAATACTCCGGGACGGAGAGAGTAATTAGTTTAAAATTTAAAATGTAACAAAACTTTTTTATTTATGAAACGATTGAAAGTACATTTAAATAAAGAAACATTAAAAAAGGAAAATTATTTCAAATTAAATAATGCTTATTAAAACTTAGTTTATATTTCACAAATAAAAAACAAATGATAACAAATAGTATTTCAAATATTTGTTAATATTTTTATATTCATTTACAAAAAACTAAAAAAATGAATAAAAGTATAACCTACACATAATAAAACTTGAATGAAATTTTCAAAATAAATTTATTATTTAATGAAGACATGTAAAAAAGATTATTATTTTTATAATATATAAGTGTATGTGTTTAGTTCGGTATTTTCAATATGGGAAGTTACTTCGTACTATTCCTAAATATTATACCGACCATTTGGTTAGGTACGGTTTGGTTCTTTCACGGTATTTTTTACTTTGGTGTTCTCAATTTTTAAGAGATCAATTGGGTACTTGCTTACTTCTACCAAACAACAATCTCACACTTTGTCCCGATAAAGTAATAAGGAAATAGTTACGATATATAATTATTATTTGTTTCATGGAGAGATCATTTTGTATTCCATATGTACAAACAAGCACCATATTTGATGAATTTCTCGCAATGTCTTAAGTTAAACCAATCGATTTAAGAGCTTAAACTCATTATAAGAATCGCTAGTAGGGTATGGACTTCAAGTCATAAAACATTTGGGTTGAATCACATTAAATGATTGAACTCAATCAATTACTAGTTCAACTCAAAAGTATAAACTTACGGAGTATTATTTTCTCTTTCAACTTTCGTCTTTTGATGTGGGATATTTTAACAAGGATCACATGAAGAAGAAATGATATAAATACCTCCAAGAGTTAGGCGAAAGCAATCATTAGTTGAACAAGGATGAAAAAACACGAGTTGACATATGTGAAGATGTAGCTTTTTGTTATACTCCTGATGATGCATACTGTAACACCACAACCCGTGTAACCCGAACCAACGAGTTATTGAATCTGGTTACTACTAGTTACGTATTCACATGCACAATATTTTAAAACATTTATAACATCCATTCATATTTATTTTGAAACAAAACATAAAATTTATAGAAGTAACAACTCCAAACATTGCGGAAGCCTTAAATACAACGTCGAAACAATTTATTACACTTAGAAATAACTGAATCAACTGAATATTAAAATGTTATTAAAATAAGCTTGGCCCATCCATCAGCAACATGCCTCACTGTCCTTCAAGGTGCTCATCTAATCCTTGATGCCTATCCTACCCGCAAAAAGATTATTGAACGTGGAAGTATCTAACGCTAGAACAAACTCATAGATTAGCTAGCATACGTCAATATATAATCAAACAATGTCATAAGAATCAGCAATTACAATTATTCGATAGCTTGATTAGTCTTTCGTTCATTTCAGACCCTTGCATAATCTTACCCCACTTAACACAATCAACTAAAACTCAAATTAAATGCACTAGTCCTAGACATTCTTAGAGGTTCCAAGAGGCCACGCTTGAAACCCAATAAAAGGTGTCCAATTGGGCAGGTTGGAGTCCCTATCACGTAGGTGCTGAGTAGGTCTAGGATTCCCGTACGTATGCTTTAACCCTGAATACCATCATGTGTATGCTGACACCTGCATGACCTTAAGTTTTAAATCCTCAGTTCTATAGGTGTTTCCAATATCAGATTCAAATCAAATCCACATAGGTTTACTAGGTGGCTTATTTTACAATTCCACTATAATTATCACCAATTCTTCTGTTAATGGATTTGCATTAATTTGAGGTCATTGTTTTTCAAAGTGGTTGATAGGATTGATTTGAAATCTATTTAAACACCAGGGGACGAATTCCCAAATTGAGATCGGGCTTTAATTAAACAACAACAACAACAACCCAGTTAAATCCCACAAAAGTAGGGTCTGGGGTGTGTGTGTGTGCGCAGACCTTGCCCCTACTCGAAAGTAGAGAGGCTGTTTCCAAAGAGACCACCGGCTCAACGTCGAAAGTTGCATTGCTTGATTAAATGCTACTTCATTAATTAAAGAAGCGCAGATAGTTTAGAGATCCATTTTGATTTATTCCATCACACCCCAAAGCCAAAAATGGTGATTGAAAGAAAAGAAGCCCAAATCCTAAATCCAAATTTCCAATCTGTAATCTCAAATCTTGTTTCCCCGAGTCAGACCCTCCTTCCCTCTCGCAAGCCTAATCCAGCTAAGCAGCAGCGGAACCCGATCAGCAATAGAAGAACAGTGATCAATATTGGCGAACTGCGGTAGGGCCGGCGAAGCCCCCTATGAGGACGCCAATTCCCCAACAGCGGCAGCATCGTCGCAATAGCAGATCTACAATGGCACAACAGTGGAGATGTGCAGGGGTGAACAGCACCTTTCCTGCGACAAGTTCCTAGTGGTCCGCCTCGGCAGCGATGTCCCAATCGTGACCTCCCTTAGCAGCGGTGGTCCAATAGTAAACTCCGGCGAGCAACAACACATCAACATTGTAGATTTTGTGTGGAGTAGAAGAGAACAAACAAAACTGATGGAGGATAGATCAAGGAGACCAGAGAAGAAACAAAGAAAGCATAGAAAAAACAAAGCGGAAGAAAGAAGAATGAATCAACCGCCATTCTTCCCCGTTTTCCAGATTCCGATCCACAATTGATGCAACAAGATCTCACGTGCTTTCCAAGATCATATCAGAAAGGATATCTACATCACAACATCCATCATTTTCTTATCCGGCGAGGCCATCCCCAAAACTTGCTATCCAGTTAGCAAATTCCAGCATACTCTCATAGGTATTATCATGATCTATCCATCTCTTGTAGACGCATATTCATAGTGAGACGTAACACGGTACAAAACTGTCAGATATATGAGGAATTAAGTGCTGAATTAACAATGTCTTGTGTGGTCCCTTTAGGTATGACAAGCAATATTTGTCGGAAGTCTCCTTCAAAAACTATTGTTTTCCCCAAATGGTAACTGAATATTTTTGGGATCACGCAATGACCTAATATCTCACAAAGTCTTATCGAGTGCCTCGAAACAAAATTTGTGAGTCATTAGAGCCTCGTCCCAAATGATCAATTTTGTTCGCAGTAGTAACTTTGCATGTGGTGTGCCATGTGTAATGCTGCAAGTGGAGTTTTCATGGGGAGTTAAGGGAATTCCAAAGTAGGAGTGTGTTGTTCTTCCTCCGAGAAGTAGTAGTAATGATATTCCACTTGATGCAACATTTAACACAATTTCTCCTTTTGAACGCAATGCAAGTGATAAAGTTTTCTAAACAAACGTCTTGCATGTCCAACCATAGCCATAAATAAAGAAAATTCTGCCTACTCCCTTTTCCAGAGATGTCATTATAGCCCCAAATGCCACGCGTTGCTCATCATTTAAATATCCCACCATTTGTATGTGCTCAGTTGCCAATGTTGTCCGATCACACTGAAGCTCATCAAGTATCAACCTATTACGGGATATTGAAGTTGCGTCCATGTTTGGAAAAGGCATTTCCTCATAGTCACGAAGACTCATGCCACTTGCTCTAAACAACATTTCTATCTCAATCAAAGTATAATTTTTAACTTCATCTTCACTCCACATTAAACCTAAATATAAATGAAGAGACGTTAAAAGGGAATAAAATAAGAATAAGTATATATATGACCAATAATATATATCTTTTAACAAAAAGAAAAGGTTACCTTGATGACCAAGAAAGATTCATTGTCGGTGAAGAATGTCATTAGCCATGCATTCCTAACATTTCTCCCAAATAAGCTTCGTGTAACACCCTAACTTGTCCAGGTCTGCAGTTCCTTTCGAACTAAAGTATAAACTTCGTAATCGTAAAATTTAAAATATTTCAAACACTTTTATTTATCCTAAATAATATTCATAACATTAAAAGTAACGGAGTTTGTAAAATTTACGGAAGCTTAATAAATAATTTTACATCACAATCAGTAATTCATTTCTGAAATAATTATTGAATACTTTAAAACCATCACACATCCATCTCACATCTCGTGTCCCCATCTGCTGCCAGGATCAATCACATCATTCTTTATTTCATTTACCTGCGTGTAGCAAATAAAACATACACGCTCAGCGGTGAAACTGAGTAAGGATATCTAATGCATCGAACATCCATATAAACTGAATCTCAATTCATAATCAAATCATTTGATACCATGCACATAATATTCATTTTAAGGATTTAGTATTCAATATTCAATATTCATTGTGTCAATAGTGCTCTTAAAGTATTCTTAGTCTGAGGCCAAATTAATACTAATAATAAAGCTCTTAAACTATTTTTAGTCTAAGGCAAATATTTCTAACTAACTCTTGAACTATAATTAGTTCAAGGTACAAAATTCCTAACCAACTCTTAAACTATAATTAGCTTAAGGTACATATTTCTTAACCAACTCTTAAACTATAATTAGCTTAAGGTACATACTTTTTCTAACTAACTTTTAAACTATAAATAACTTAAAGTACAACACAAGAATAACCGAACATTGGACTACTCACTGTCGGGTGGTTGGTATCCCCAAACGAGTTATCCTCTAGTTTGGTTTATAGATCCCGCATGTACGTTTTACCCAGGCCACCAGACTTCATACCCGCAAGGCCAAATTCAACTAAATCACATGGTGTCTATCTTAGAGTTCTTCTAGATAGTCTTAACAATACACATCATTTTCATTATTATCAAGATATTCATTTTTAATCATGGTTCAATCTTTCATAATTATCATTTTAATCAGGATATTTTGTAACACCCCGACCCGCGGTACCCGAATAAATAGGTTAGCAAACTGGGTTGCTACTAAATTGGTATCCACATGCAATAATTTCCAATAAATTAAAAACATTTAATTTAAAAATCAAAGTATTTAAAAATACTAATTTAATTACATATCGAAGTTTATACAAACAGTGCGGAAGCCTTATAATTAAATCAAATATCAATTTCACTAAATTCCTGCATCCATACATCCTCTGTCATGCTGCTCTCCGGGGTGGATTTCAGAATCAATCTTCCATAACCACCTACGTGTAACAAAGGGAAAAAAGGTATACACGCTCAGCAATGAAGCTGAGTGAGAAATATCTAACAGTTCGAACATACACATAGGCGAATCCACTAATCCACAATTATCAAATGATATCTTCCACACAACATGCTTGGCAACAATCATACGACATACAAGATATAACACGCATAATCAACGTCATAACAGTTCATAAGATACAAACAACAACAATATATGTATTAGGAACTTTCCTTTCTAGTTTACTTTACTTTCCTTAACGTACTTGGCTCTTAACCTATACTTTAAAGCTTAACTGAATTCGACTTTCCTATGGAGTCATGACCTTCCCCTTCGGAACGAAGGTCATGCTTAAACCAACTCGGGAGTTCCTCGTTGGGTGGGTGAGATCCCTGTCCCCTTCGGAACAACAGTTCTTAGATCCCCGTGTACACGTTTTTACCCAAACAGCCATTGGACCCAGCAGGTACCACATGGCTCTAACTTACTATACTTATGACATACCTTGCCACTAATCCATTCAGGTCATTTCCTAGAGTTCTTCTAGGTGATATATCCAATATATAATACAACATTCATAAATACACAATTTATTTAACAAGATATCCAACATAATCAAATAGCGACCTAACACTGGGTGTAAACACCCATGTTTACCGTCAGGCAACACACTGAATCTCGGAATCATTCTTTGACAAAAACACAGATTGACGGATCTGGCATCAGGTACCAGACGGTACCTATCACGGTACGGGGTACCATCTTCACGGTACCTGGGTACCAATTTTACGGTACCGGTGGTACCGTCCGAACCAACTGGGCTCTTCCGGTAGGACTGTCACGACAGCAAACTACCGACTGGGCGGTAGGGCCTACCGTCTATCCGGTACCTAGGTATCGAATGGTCATAGCTACCGGCAGTGGAGAATGGTAGAACAGAGTGTGACGGTAGCACAGTACCGTCCCGACGGTACCGCCTACCGTCTGACAGAACAATTCCCATATTTACACCTGTTTCGTTTTTCAATATCAACCAACAACAATCTCATAACAACAAACACCAATAGGTTCATATTAACATTCTAAACATTATCAAGGACCTTAATTCATCAATCAACACCTAAATTGTGCATACTACCCTTTTTGATTCAATGACAACAATTCCCTAAACCATAGCCAACAATTAAACGAATAAATCACATAGATCAACCACGATAATAATTATGAACGGAATTTCAAATCTGATATAGATTCATATTCTAGTGTTAGATATCCATGTACTCACCTCAATTCGTTTCAACTTGATTCAACGGAAAGTTTCTCGAATACTGCAACTAATGTCTTTCATCGAAGCCTCCATGTTACCGCTGCTAAACAGAAAGAGTCGCTACCTGAACTTTCCTGATCACTGCTCGATGTCAATGGGTCGCTACTGGAGATGCCAAGTCGCCGGATTTCGTCGCTGGTTCCAAACCACTGTCAGAGGCATTGGAGTTGCTGCCAGACGCCGTCACTGCTGTTTCGCTGGAGCAGAGAAGGCTCGCCAGAATTGCTGGATCGCTCGTCCTCATCGCTGCCTGAACTCATCGCCGGAGATCGCCGTTTGCCCTGCATTAATGACCACCATCGCTGTGTTTCCCCCTTCGTGGAAGACCGCCGGTGCAGAAGGAGGGGTTACCGAAGCAGGAGAATCGGAAGAGGGAGAGAGAATCGCGACGGGTGCTGGCCGGAATATGTTGGGGTAATTGTGTCCCTTTGTTGGCGCTGCTGCTGGTGGATCAAAGGATGAGGTTGGCTGCGGTGCTGGTCTCAATCAAAGAAGAAAATCAGAACTAAAACACGTGGGGTATTTATATTCCTTGCGTCTTGTACTCCGTAATTTAAAATAATGTGTCTGAGTAAACATACACACTTTTCGGGCCAACTTGCTCCGAATTGAGATCCGTTCTCGTCATTGGATTCGATTCGTCGATCCCTACCCAACGATATAACTTTTATATTCAATTGAAAAACATTTATACGTTCCACCAAGTCTGTCTTAATTCTTTCGATAGATTAGTACCGATTAGTCTTTTACTTGAAATCTTTACAAATATAATCAGATTAGTTTCATTATATTGAGACGATCAGAATCTCTAAAATATCTTTCAATTCTTTAAAACAATAGATTGTCCTAAATAAATACTTTTTATTTGTTTAGTTAGAAAATAACTTCTAGACCTGTTTTTGGGGCGTTACATATTCATCAAGGATTAATCATCATAATCAACAATCAATAATAATCGTCATAATATTCAATAACAAATAGCGGCCTAGCATCAAGTGTTAACACCTTCGCGGTCATGCATCACACAAGCTTCTTGAATTTGTTAAATCATCATATTTATTTCATGAAATCATTTTTATATTGACCATAGTTGAATGGTATCAAATATAAGATTTTACAGTTTAAAAACCAGGTTTGTGGAAAAAATCTCGGTTTAGACAGTACCCCTTACGATACCTCGGTACCGGTTACACGGTACCTCGGTATCACCCGGGACTGTATGTGGTACCGCCTGGTGCCAGGTACCGCTAGAGAAATTTGGCTTCTGACGATACCTACCTACTGTTACGTATGGTACGACCTACCGTGTCGGCGATACCTTGGTACCGTTTGGGCGGTAGCTCGTTACCGTGTCTACGTCAGTATTAAACAGTGTTATCTTCAATCTCGGGCCAATTTTCGAAACCTTTATTTTTAGTCATCAAACTTCAATTAAACTATATAGAAATGTTTCTATGAAGTTCATAGATCATTTTGGTATCATTAATTCGAAGTTTTAATAATAATTTCAAAGTTTATGATTCTTGGATCTTCAAGTATGTCAAACACAAAACTCAACCAAACGAACTTTTATGAACCTAGAAATGATGTATATGAACATTCTAATAACTAGTCATATCTAAGGGCTTATCTCGGGCTTAAATGAAGGTTTGGGAAATTTTCTAGCAAAACTTTCGACGAAGATCGTTATCAACTCCGGCGACCTCTCACTATATGTACCACACCTCTGCATTCTGTATACTCAGAGCAATAGAATAGAAAAAGAAATGGAGGAGTTTGGTGAAGAATGGGGAGATTTGTGTTCTCCTTAAATAGACAGAAGGATGTAGAAAAAGACATGGTTGTACACTTTTTAGTCCCACTTTCTCTGAATTAAATTCTGATTGTATTGTTGCGACCACTCAGTCAAAATTTAAACAACGATATAGTTTCATTATTTATTGAAAAAATCTATAAATCACCTACTTCTCGGTCCTTCTTAGTACTTAATTATTATTAATTAATTAATTCTGATATGCCTATTTTCGGGGCGTTACAATTTGATCTTGACATTGTCACATTAGTTAGGGGCTGTTTGTTTCAGCCTCTTAATGGTTCAGATGTCTGAATGGTTCAGTACTTAATGGTTCAGACTGTTTGTTTCAGCCTCTTAATGGTTCAGATGTCTGAATGGTTAAGAGATTTGCCTTTGAATGGTTAAGTATTATACAAAGTCTGAATGGTTAAGACCTCTTATCTGAATTGATCAGACATTTCCCTCTGAATAGTTAAGTAATATACTAGCTCTTAATGGTTCGGACATCTTACTAGTTCAGCGCATTTAATGGTTCAAACCTCTTACTAGTTCAGCACTTACCGATTCAGAAGTTTCCAAACAGCCCCTTAGTAGTGTTACAAATAAAATTCGTAACTGGAGTGCTGAAGACCATTGACTTGCTTCACTAGACCCATTAGTGTACTCTTTATCATCGTCTAAAGATCCAAGTGCATAACATGCATCACGATAAGTATCACGAACAACGTCATTCACATTATTTAAATCAGCATAATTTGTTGGCCCACGAATAATATTTATCAACATTCTTAAGTAATAGGCCTCTCCGGATCCTGGTGAAACATATATCATACGCCCAATTGCAAAACCACATTTTTAGGAAAGTACTCTCTTTATTTTGACTTACAAACAAAATTCTGTGAAAATTCAACATATGTTAAGAATTTTGCTTCTAGGTAGGTGGCATTTGTACGCATCCATGCAAGGAATTTTCTCGCCCAATTTTTGTTGTGTTTTGAGATCTTTACAAGGCCTTTAAGTTTGACATTGAAAATTCTAGAAGTTATGTGGGAACGATCCTCATGGTTCAAATTTCTGATCTTCAAAAAATGATTAATCTCTAACCATCTTGGATTACATGTGAAAGTTAGGAAAATAGCAAGATATCCTATTCATCGACAAATAGCCATGGCATCTTAATAGTTCTAAATCATATACCGTGCAGCCCCAACGAATAAGGATGGTACCACAACACGTTTCCCTTGGATACAAGCGTCATTATCAACATTCACAAAAAAAATCCAAAAACTTGTTATACATCTCACATCGTAATATCTTTTGGTGTGTACTGATGTATGCCAGTCTTGATGATTCCATTATTGTGTATCCATCAACACACAACTCTTGGAATAATCTACATGAATGCAATACAAATTGAGTCTCATCAATCCTTTCATGAATCCTATAGGGGAGAAATTTTCGAATACAAAAACTTCTTCTCCCACCAATATTTCGAATGGACGTATTGAAAAATGGTATGTCTTCACGATAACCATCACCCCAAAGAGGAACAATAATGGATATTGAAGACTTAAAAATGCCGGATTTAACTCATTAATGCGTCTTAGTGGACTGGCCTGTGTTTGGACCAAAATGTCTCTTTCACCCAAGGGTTGGCCAAGATCACCAACAACCAATGCTACCCCTTCAGCAACAGAAGGTAGATTATAGTTTCTTGGGTCGGATGTCTTCTTGCAAATTAATCTCAATTGCACTTGATAGTCGTCGCCAGATTCAATTCTCTCTCAAATCATTCGAAATGACTTGACCAACACATTGTGGTGGTTCAACATCTCACGTAGCTTCGATACAATATCCATGTGTGACGTGTCCATATGATCTTCCTTACTTAAAGTTAAAATAAGACTATCAATAAATACAATTTTTCTTATATATTTTAGTATACCTAAAGAAATAATAACATTTAATAGCTTTCAAAACAACTATTTACCTCATAGTCCTGATTCTATTCATGTCCTCATTTTGCGTAGCATATATATATATATATATATATATATATATATATATATATATATATATATATATATATATATATATATACACGAATGGGTTTAGAGAGAGGATTTCACCGGCGATTTGGGCGATTCACGCCACCGCCATGGTAATAAATCCCATCCACATCCAAGAGTAAGATTCTTCCTCCAGTCAAATGCAAATCGCTGGTTTAATGGTGGTCGTCCTCGAGGATTCCAGCCAGAATGGCTACTTTGGAATGGAAATCACAAATTTCAGAGATGGAATCGTCATAGTCCATCTATAGATTGCTGGCTAAGGAAGAGAACCCAAAATCCGAAGGCTATAAGGCAAGATCGTGAAAGTCATAATCGGTTTCACTCCTTTCGAATTCAATCCAAGGTTTTTAATCTCTTTCACTCTTCCTATAACCAGAATTTCTGTATTAGTGAAGTTGGTAGGAGGAATTATAATATCTGGTTTGATTGTAAAGGGTTGGAATGGATTCTTGAGATTTTCCCCAAATTAAATCAGAGAAATGCTTGGGCTATTACTCGGTTTGAAAAGCAGCGAAAAATTTCCATCTCATATGGGTCAAATAGGTGGGGAAGTTTTATCAGAATTCTTGAGTGTAGGGTAGAAGGGAACACCTCTATTTTTATCCCGGTGAATAGAGGAGGTTCGATTTCTTTCTATAATGCTCTGGATGCCTTCTTTGGGAAGACTAAGGCCCCCATTATTACGGATTCTATATCTAGTGCATACAAACTTGCAGTGGTTCATGAGCTTAGTGTTCCTGGCTCTTCAAACATCTCTGGTTCTGCACAGCCTTCAAATTTGGATACCAAAGCTTTCTTTGGAACTCAACAAAATGCTGAGTTACCCGANTATCCCGGTGAATAGAGGAGGTTCGATTTCTTTCTATAATGCTCTGGATGCCTTCTTTGGGAAGACTAAGGCCCCCATTATTACGGATTCTATATCTAGTGCATACAAACTTGCAGTGGTTCATGAGCTTAGTGTTCCTGGCTCTTCAAACATCTCTGGTTCTGCACAGCCTTCAAATTTGGATACCAAAGCTTTCTTTGGAACTCAACAAAATGCTGAGTTACCCGAGGACAAGGCTCCTGCTGGGATTGGTTTTAGTCAAGGAGCAGGGGGGGAAGCTCAGCCAGTGGGCTCACAAAATACTAGAGGGATTTTAGCTCCTCAAAGCAATGAAGAACATGGGATAAAGAATGTATACATACTGCCTAAAGACTCGGTCCCAAGTGTTATAGATACTGAACATCATACCACTCCTGGGGGGTTGAACTCGGAAGTTGAGTCCATCAAAGCATGTCTCCTAAACTATGGAGAGCAAATGATAATCGAAGGGTTGTTTAAGCAAACACCGGAAGGGGAAGTTTCAAGAACGGATGATCCTATTCATTCTGAACTTAAGCTTATGATCATCGATGCTAATGTGGAAGAACCAGCAAGTGGAGATCTCCAAAAGGAGTTTGAGATATTAAAGCCTATATTTGAGCAACATATTAGCGATGACTTTGAGCAATCTCTATGGATGATTAAGGAGTCATTGCGTTCACCTTTCATCAAAGAAAAAATTCAGAAGGGTCTTGTTCAAACTCTTCAGGGCAAGGCAATAAAAGCTACAAGGGAAAGTATGAAGAGCGCACAATGCATTAGGGCAATCAAGATAAAAGGTACGCGACATCCAGTCCTACTATCATGTGCCAATATTGACGAGCCTATCATTACGTCTTTGTGTGAACATCTCATCGACTATGAATGAAGCAGATGACTTTTGGGGACTGTTAGACTATTTGTTTACTACCGGTAGATGATGGACACCTTGAGATCCTACTGGTCGTCTTTGTTTTTGGGCACTAGTTTATTAGATTTTAAGAGATGCAACTCTATACTGTAGATGGAATCTCTACTGCCCTATATTATCATGAGCCCATTGACCTGCAAGGATTAGCTAGCAGTGGTATGAGGACTCACCGGTTTACCTCCCTTTTTGATGTTGATTTATGGCCATGTTTACTTCTGCAGCTTAAACTGCTTACTTTAAATATTCTCATGGTCCTCTACTACTTGGAACAAGACATGGAACATCTATCCATATGCAAAAATTTGATTCCCTGCAGTAGCTCTAATGAGGACCACCACGTTGGGTTGAGTAATTTGAATTCATATGGTGAATTTTTGAGTGATGGCAGACACAAGATAAGAGAATATTTCTCCAGTCATATGGCGACAACAAGGGACTTAACAAAGCTTTGGGACCTCTTTTAGTTGTTTATTTGTGTTGGTCAATTTTCAATCTTTGGACTGTTA